ATAGGTGGAGGTTATTGGGTGTGTGACACCATGAGTTACTGCACTGGGTGATGCCAATCCTAATGGGTCTCTTCCTGGGCCTAAAATGGTCCAGGAGGGCCTTATAACTTGGCAAAAATGCCCCATGACCTCCTGAGGGTGCTTGGGAAAATTGGGGGCTTTTTTTTTTTTTTTTTTTTGGCAGTGGAACTCTGGCCCTCCAAAGTTTCCTGGGAATGAATGAGGCCCTCTAACCTCCCAAGGCTACCCACCCCTGGCTTAAAGGGACTACTTTCCTGATGAGAGGGCTGTGACAAGAAGGGTCAAAGGAGAGGGAAACCAAGCAAGTCTTTGCTACAGGGCACAAATGTGTGTCTTGCCTTCCAAGTGAAAACATTTAAAGAACTTGTGTGTGACTTCAGTGCTTTCAGCTACTTGGGGCTTAAGGATTTTTGTTTTTACATCCAAATGATTGTTTATGCAGCAACTGAGCTTAACATAAGGACAAAAATCAGTTCAGTTAGCATGGTCTAGTAGTGGTTTGAGTGTTGGGACTAGGACACTGGAAGACTAGGGTTTGAATCCCCACAGCCATGGAAACCCAATGGATGACCTTGGGAAAGTCATACTGTCTCACACTCTGAGGACCACAAAGGCAACCCCTCTCTGAACAAATCTTGCCAAGAAAATTCCATACCTTATGCTCACCATAAATCAGAAATGACTAGAAAGCACACAACACAAAAGATCCCTCTCTTCAATAGTACTATCCTGTTGTCAGTGGCTGATCCCAAAACAAACTATCAACTCCACACCCTCCTATATGTCAGTATTCTACATACTTCTGCTTTTAGCACTGTTGGGTTTTTAAAAAGCTTGCAAATTACTTTATTCATTACATTTATTGGTCTTCTTGTTTCCCATATCACACTGCTATTCATTTCCTTCCTTGGGGCTATAGGAGGAAAAGTCCAACCAACATCATCTTCAGGAATATTTCTTGCAATAAAGACTTGAAAATTCAATTGCCTCTATCTATCTATTCTTCTCTCTTTTTGAACGCAGATGCTAGTGACCTGAATTCTGTTAAAGGATCATGCATTATGAAATGTTTGTTTGCTTCAAAGTATCCCAGGAGAATCCACTAATTTAAAAAGAGCTGAAGCTACAACTCAAATCTGGTGCTCATTTAAAAATCCATCCACACTCACAGCAACCAGTGGAGAGTCCATAACTGGATCAAAATCAGTGACATTTCTAGTTATACACATCACAGTCTGTGACATTCACTGGCCAATTAATTGACTTTCAAAGTAAAAGTAGTGAAACTGAAGCATCCAGTTCCATTTTTTGCAACTCTCCAAACCACTTGGGAAGTTTTACCAAAATAATATTCCCCAGGCAATTTTTCACTCCAGATTGCACCCAACAGTGCAAAACCACCCCAAACATGGTAGTTTGGCATGATTTTGTCCCCATGGACCACCAATGTGGTGTATAGACTTTAGAGGTGGAAATTGTCCTCTTTTCCCCATACAGTTGCTCACTCCTGCTTTAAAGCAAATTTTCCTTGGTGAAGAACTGCTGGTATCTTGTTAGTGGCATACATATGTGTATGTTTCCATTATGCCCGTGAATGTCATTTTTTGGGTGTTGCAGGGGTTAACATTCCCATCTCTCTCCTGACTTACCACACAGTCTCTGAAGCACCCTTGTCCCGCATGACCATTACATGACACACAGAGGGCAGGACTGGGGAAGCATTTGGCTATGTCCCCGTAGTGAGATATGTAAAATTATTACAGAGGCACTTAGACCTCCAAGGGACTATGGCAGATCTCAGCATTGATGTAACCATTTTGCATTTGGCTCAGGGGCAGACATAGCCAGATGCTTTTTTGATCCTGCTCGCTTTCTCTGAGTGTGGTGGAGTCTCCTTCCTTGGAGGTCTTTAAGCAGAAGCTGGTTAAAGACCTCTGGTTAAAGAGGCTGGTTAAAGATCTGTCGGGGATGCTTTAATTGGGAGTTCCTGCATGGCAGGGGGGTTGGACTGGATGGCCCTTGTGGTCTCTTCCAACTCTATGATTCTATGATTCTAAGGCATGCATGGCTCCTTGTGCGTGTGTGGGAGGGGGCAGACTTCAGAAGCTATATGGTTAGTGCCATATGGGGTAATGGTATATGGCTCAGCCTAGTGAAGATCCACATGCAGAACTACTATTCTCTGCTGAGCCATACAGGATTTCTGCAATGTGTATTACTATCATGCATGCAATAGCCTGATACTATGCATTCTTTGAAACATGCCGATATATTTCTGTGGCACCTAGAGTCTTGCCAGTGGTGACAACTCGAGAAGCTATATTCTGGGCTTAAGCATTCTCGCTCACAAAATAGCTGAAGCCCCCAAAACCCCAACAAACAGGATAAGGATTCATTTACTAAGAGCACAGCACAACTGAGCTGAACCACCAAATGAATGAGACCTTCCAGAAAAAGACAGCATGTTCAATCAAACCAGTCTCTTTTGTCCTATACTCATCAAGGCAGCAATCATTCTTATTGGACTATACTAACTTAACAGAGGAATGAGTAAATATACTGGTTAGTCAGTGTACAATTAACAAGTCCATTTAATAGTTGCATTCCTAGTTTCCCAGGTTCAACTGGCAGTCTAATTTTGTAAGCCTGAAGACTTGACTATTTTCTTTTTGCAAAACACAGCCAAGACATGCACTCAAGTTACACATGATTTGACATAGCACCCTTTGTTTCTTTTGTGCAGAAATATGCGTCAATTTTGGCTTTTTGCAGTGTAATCACAACTTTTACAAAGGGTTTCCACAGTGATGACTTCTTTTTGCATCCAGGAGTGACAACTGCCAAGAGGATTACACTGGCACCAACTCAAATGGACATTCTTATGCCAGAATCCCACTATGGTTCAGTCTAGTAGCATTCAACTTATGCTCCAGTTATGCCAGGCCAGCATCCTCTCTTTTCTAATTGAGCCCAGGGGCAAGTACATTACAAAGGCATTATAACAGAACAATTAAGAAATGCAAGGCATCACCTTTCCTTTATTCAGGACAAGGAGAAAAAATGAGAAAGGAAACAGGTCCTGTCAATGCACCCATAAATTTCTGGTTGAAAGTTTTTCCAACTGTAATTTTGGGTCTCTTAATGTGTTGTGATGCACCATTCCTTTCTAACAAGTCAGCAAATTCCTTTGTTGAAAAGCAATACTTTTTAGAACAACCACATGCAGGCATTCTGAACTGTTCCATCTCCCCAGTATGCAACAGGGAAGAAACAGCAATTGGTATAATTCTTGCTGTGTTGGCAGGTAAAAGAAAAGGCTGTGTTTCACATTATGATTAACTGTGTAGATCCCTACCCTCAAATGGTGACATCGTTCTAGAACTTGTAAAGCTACTTTTTAAAAAAGTATCTTGTTCTTGTTACCTGCTATGGTGTTTGGTAAGTAATTTGTTTCTATTATTGATTACGGTATTAAAAAGATAACTTGTTTTACTTGCTGACTTCCAATGCTTTAAAAAACCACCTTGAGATTGATGAGTAAATTACATCAAAATACTTCTATTATTGCCTAACATCCTTTAAATGTAACTTTAAAAAATAACTAGGAACCATTATTTACAGTAATAGGGTAACTTGATTCTCACTTGTATTACTTTTGAGGTAGAATTCAGAGATACAGCCATGTTAGTCTGTGGAATCAGTATGTAGAGAGATCTTGTAGCACCTTTGAGACTAAGGGCCTTTGCAGACTGCCAGAAATACTGCAAATTGAGTCAACTTTAAAGGTTAGGGTTAGTGCTAGGGAGTAATGGGAATTGTTTTTTTTCTGAGACATTGAGCCTTCTCTGTCAGATAGCTCTGGTGCCACAATAAACTACAGTTCCCATAATTCCCTAACCCTAACCCTTAAAGTGGACTCAATTTGCACTATTTCTGGCAGTCTGCAAAGGCCCTGAAAGAAAGACATTGGGAGCATGAACGTTCATAGACTGAAGTCTACGAAAGCTCATGCTGCCAATTCTTTTCTTTCAGTTAGTCTCAATGGTGTTACAAGATTTCTCTACGTACTTTTGAGGTGTGATTTTATAATGCCCTTATTTGCCAAAAAGAAAATTAGTAATTATATCATTATTTGTAACTTGTTATTTCTATCCTCTGTACAATTTTTCATACTATTTACAGGGGCTGTTCCAAAGAGTGGAACTGGGAGAAGGGCTGGGGAGCAGGAGTGGGAGTAAGGAGTAAAGAAATAAGAGGTTTTTACAGGAATAGGAGTAGGAGTAACATGAAGAAAAAATAACCCTAACCCTAACCCTAACCCTAACCAAGTAAAGCTACATCCTGTTAAAATAAAGGGTCTATGGATTGGTTGGCCAACAACTGGCTAAGTCACTTGCTCTGGATGAGATTGTACTTGCCTGAGGGAGCAGGTGCATAGCTTGGGAGTACTCCTGGATGAAGCTCTGTACCTGAAGGCCCAAGCCTACCTGGGTCCACCAGCTAAGGCCTTTCTTGAACGAAGATAATCTATCTACAGCATTTCATGCACTGTTAACTTCCTAATTAGAGTACTAAAATGCATGTTATATGGCGATATCCATGTTATGTAGAAGCTGCAGCTGGTGGACCGCAATACTTGAAAAATCTCCTCGTTTATATGACTAACTGAAGATTGGGTTCTACTGGATGGGTCCTCCTTTGTGTCTCACCAGTGGGAGCAATGTACCATGGAAGGGCACAGGAAAGAGACTTCTCTGCATTGGCACCCCTGCTGTGGTATGCATTCCTCTCAAAAGCCCAAATACTCCATTCCAGCACCGAGCAAAAACAAAATTTAAAAATAACTTTTTATTAAAGCCTTCAGGGTCTAATGTTTTCATACGATTTATATGTGTGTATGGTTTTAAACATCATCTAGTTTTAAACTGTCATATGGTTTAATGTGTTTTAGACTGTTACTTTGGACATCTGTAGAGAGAGCCAGTGTGGTGTAGTGGTTTGAGCACTGGACTATAGCTCTGGAAACCAGGGTTCAAATCCCTGCTTGGCCACAGAAACCTAATAGGTGACCTTAGGCAAGTAACATTCTCTCAGCCTCAAAGGAAGGCAAAGGCAAACCCCCCCCCAAATTTTGCCAAGAAAATCCCATGTTAGGGTCACCATAAATTGGAAATGACTTGAAGGTACACAACATACAACATTGGTAAAGACTTAAGATAGAGTTACAGTGGTAACTTTGCAGCCTTTAGCTGCACTTTGAATTAGCAGAGCAATCATCCTGTATCTAAGCTGACATTCCTCTCTTTTTTGTACAATAAAAAGAGAAAAGAATGGAAGATAGGTACTTCTTCAAGTGTAGATATATCAACTTATAGCAGCTGGGATGTGGGAAGCCATATGCACTGCTGGCTGCATCTGTGTTACATTTGTTAATAGCTGAAAACCTTATTTTATCCATCCAGCAATAACAATTAGCTAGGCAAAGTTACATCATGCACTTTATGTACTTACTTGAAATGTAAGTCCTTGAAGGTAAAGTGAGTCTCTACAATGCCTGTAGTCTTCACTCTGGTTCTCAGCACATCTTGCTGGGTTGGAATGTAATCCACTCTGGCTATCCTCTCCAAATCATTCAGGTAGCTGCAGGGAGAAAGGGGTGAAAGTTAGCAGAGTAGCTCAGTACAGTTTACATCAAGGGTCGGCAACCTATGGCCTGGGGGCTGGATCCGCCCCCCCGAGGCCTTTGGACAGCCCCCAGCCCGGTCCTGCTGCCGCTGCTGCCACACGTGGCACCACCGTGCGAGTCGCGGCCGCCATTTTCTTTTCCAAAATGGCACCGTGTCTCGTTTGCGCATGTGCCGGAGTACTGCGCTTGCGTGAACAAGTCGTGGCTGCCATTTTGGAAAACAAAATGGCGGCTGCAACCGCTTGTGCATGTGCAGTACGCCAGAAGTACTGCACATGCGCAAGCGAGCGTGCACATGCATGCATAGTACTTCCGGCATAGTGCGCATGCACGCATGAGTGTGCGCGCACTGCGCCATTTCCCCCCCCCCCCTCGGCCCGCGGAAGACCTCAGGACCAGCGGACCGGCCCCAGGTAGGAAAAAGTTGCCTGGGTTACATGGTAATTTAGAAGAATGAAAGGCAATGAAAAGGCTGCATTGCCATTCTGCCCCAGAGCAAACTTTCTCACTCATACGCTAGCTCATACAGCACACTTTTGTCATACTACCAAATCCAATGAACACACTGGAAATATGTAAAAGCTAAGCAACCTGATTCAGGGACAGGCTCACACTACTTAAAGAAGTAGAATAGTATATCCCATGTAGTATTTCTCAAATAATGGAGAAAACATTTTTTATCTGAACAGAACTTTGAGTGATAGCATAAACAGAAACAAATGCACATGTCTTTATAACAAGGCTATGAACATATATCCAGTGACATTTTACATTGACAAGGAGTAGGTACAAAACATCTTGTTAGTTTAGAAGGGAGAAACTGTTTTAAGGAATTTGATAAAAGCCAGTTGATAAGCAGGAGCCAACGTGATGTAGTGGTTTAAGTACTCAACTACAGTTCTGGAATTTTGATTCAAAACTTGGCCATGTAAACCCACTGGGTAACCTTACCATGCCACATGCTCTCAGTCTCAAGGGAAGGCAATGGCAAACCCTCTCTGAACAAATCTTGCCAAGAAACTTCATGATAAATTCACCTCAGGGTTGCCATACGTTGGAAATGACTTGAAGGCACACAAGAACAGCAGCAGCAGTTGATATGCAGGCCAATCCCACGCCTGCTCTACTGAAAACAAGTTCCTATGGGTTCACTGGGAATTTGGTTTGAGTAATCAGGCAGAAGATTACAACCTTAAAACCTGTTTCCCAAATGCAGGACAACTGACTTCTGCCAGCATCCTTATGCACTTTTGAGCCACAGATTTTGAATTTAAAATTTCCTCTGGAGAAAAGGAACAGCTATTTCATCAAAGATCCACTTGCAGCAATCAATCAATCAGAAAAAAGGATGAAAGTAAACCCTCATTGGGGCGGGCAATCTTTTTGTCACATTGTTACACTCTATATTCTCTCTTTCTCTCTCTCTCTCTCTATATATATATTTCACAAGAGGCATGTGATGTTTGGGCCAAAGGTGGCCATATATCTTAACAGATTCACTACCAATAGATGTACTCAGATCTGCAGCCCACTCAAATGCTGTCATCATTTTAAGTTAATCACGCTGCACAGTTCCATTAATACAATGCAGCTCTCAGGAAAGGAAAGTATTCATCACTATGGTAACAAATCAAAGGCAGTGGGGGAGAGGGAGGGAAGAGACGCATGTGCAGAGAAACCATTTATGGCCACATGCCATTTAAAGTCAAAACACCCAAAACCTCCTTCCTGGGGAGGAAGAGGGAGGTCTTTGGGGAGGAAGGAGGAGGCGATCAGCAGGGCTGCTTGAGGCAGAAAAGATCAGAAAAAGGCAAATCCTGTTCTAGAGTCCAGAAAAATCTTTACTGCTTTGGCCAGATTCCTTCTTTCACTCACAGAGCGAGAAGGAAGCACAGGATACACTACATGGGCAATCTACCCATGAAGACCATGCAGCCATAAAATGTGTTACCAAAAGATTGGCATGGCCTCTTTGATTTGATTCTTTCAGACTGGCAGTGTGAGACTCCTCACAGCCACAGCACAGGCTGATGGAAACACACCCTTAAAGATGGGAACTGCGTTAGACCTCACATAGCTAACTTAACCCTGCTTAAAGATGTCTGACAACCTTTTGCAAAGGGCCAAGGAAACCACCCCCCCAACTGACAAGCACTGTTTTTTCCTGGCAAGGCCTACCATGTCTGTTCTTTTCATATTAAAAGATGGTGGCACACTGTGAGTTGTGGTGTCTACAGAGATCACTTTTTATTTTAGAAGGAAATGTGACCACAGAAGCATATTCATTTCTAGTCATGCTGGTCAAATGGAAGCCACTTCCTTTGCAAATCCTGTTTTAAGGAAGTTGCAAAGTGAAGAGCCAAGCTGAGGAGTTAAAAAGCCACCCAACAATGGCAAGATGATTCAATCTTGAAAGACTGAGAAAGACAGCCACTGCCTGAGGAGCTAGGATTCAATATTTTCACAGCAAAAGCATGAAAGTAATGGGTATAACAATTGAGATTAGTTGAGATTACAATTAAGAACAATTGAGATTACAGCATAACAAATGAGATTACAGCAAATAAAATATCAATTATAGCACCTATTATACACATGTTTTGAAAAATCTATATTGCATTCCAGAAAAATAAATTACTGTAAATAAGAGGAATTAAGAAATGGAAAGCATAAGACGATGAATGCATAATAAAAATGGCTTCTTTCCTTTTCTTTCCACAGGTGCTCAACCAAGAGACTGGGACAGTATATCTCTGTCACTCCAGAAGCCATCTTTATTGCCTTTCTCCTCTCCCTAAAGATCCAGCAATCATCCAGTCATTTTTAGTGTATTATAGCCCCTCACTCTGGGATTATCTTATTTACTTCATAGCTCTTAAGTAGCCAACCCATAACTGAAATTCTCTGGATGGTTTTCAGGACAGATAATGGCTTTAAAAGTTCAACGTGAATACTAAAAACAATTGAAAACTAAAAACTGTTGAGACCACAGATTACTGAGCATTAACAGATTATACCACATTTTAAAGGCATGGGTGAATAAAAAAGGTTTTTGCATGACAGACACGGAAAAGACCATAAAGACAGTACCAGGCAGGCCCCTCTGTGAACACCTTCCAGTATGTTCAATGCTAGCAACAGAAAGGTCCTCTCCCCTGGTAGTCCCCCTCCTTGCTTCAGCACTCAGAGCAAAGGCTCTTAAGGTTCAGCTTGGTACATATGGTATAAACTGATCTTCCAGGTAATATCATACTTATTTCGTTTAAGGTTTTAAAAGCTAAAATGATGTGGCCAAAATGGTCCATTCCAGAGAGTGTACTTGAGACCTAATAACAGTGCTAGGCTAGATGGGATGGAAAAACCAATACTGCTTCTATGGCCCTTATTGAATCTCAGTGTACTTACCCTCCTTTAGCCCTTTAGCAATAGCAACAGCAATAGCAATTTCATTTATATACTGCTTCATACCACGCTATGCAGTCTCTAAGTGGTTTACAACTGTAAGCGAATTTCCCCCAACAAGCTGGGTACTCATTTTAGCGACCTCGGAAGGATACAAGCCTGGTCTGTGAGTGAGTCGCTGCAATACAGGCATTTAACCACTGCACTACCAGGGCTCCTTTAGTATGACAAAACCTCATCTGTATCTAATGCAAGAAATAAGTAAATCTGGGTATCAACTGCATACTGTAGCATCTCAGATCAAATATATATCTTATCTCTCCCAGTGTCTTCATGCAGATATTAAACAGCAAAAAAGAATGAATAGAACGCTCTGATACTCCAAAGCACGACTGTCAAGTAGTTGAGCAGTAATCTCTCAACATCCCCTTTTGGACTCATGCTTTCAAAGTAGGAATGAAATCCACATTAAAAGATCCCTTCCTCACCCCAACAGAAGGCTACAATGGTACATGGAATTGAAAGTCAATAGAATTGCAAGAAGATTAAAATGTTCATAGTCTCACTGTTCTTCAGCTGGAAACCATCCTGCACAGACAACCATGGCAGCTTTCATGGTTTGCAAGCTCAACTAAAATGAATGCAAAGAAAACCATCCATCCTCTTCTCCAGCCTTCTCATACTACAACATATTATGCTGTGCATCAGTGAATTTATAAGTGTCTTAGCTCTGCCAAAACCAAAAGGCTTTTTGATCTTAGAACATATCCTAATACATGTTACACTTAGAGAAGAATTCATACATGTTGTGTTTTACTGTCTTTCATAACTGCGATTTATTGTGCATAAATATTTATACTCATCCACATTAAATAGTCTTTTCTAATCACAGATGTGATGCTTTGCTTAGCATGCTATAAAAGATCTGGATGTTTGCATTGCTCTGCTTCATACTGTCAGAAT